AGAGAAGGTGTGGCCTCACTACAGATGTGGGGAATACCAGTGACCTAAGATAAGACTAAGTTTCAAAGAATACCACAGAATACTTTTAAGTCGTAGTAAGATACAAAGCAATCAGCAGAAAGGCCACTTGGGGTTTGCTTAGACTTATTAGTTTCCCTGACTCCCTGAGAATGCCCAGAAACAGGGATGTGGAAGATAATTTTGAAGAAGGAAGAACTATTTCAGCAGCACCAGCTGAAGCCCTACCAGCCAGGGCAAATGAAGCCTGTCACTGTGGTCAAGTGTAGGCTGCCATGTTTAGAGGATTAGGAAGCTCAAGTCCACAGATTCCTTAAGACCCAGCCATCAACACAAGGAAACCCTGCTACCTGCCTATCTGACTCACACCTTAACCTCTCATCAAAGAGGTGGCCTGGGACACCTGCCAGGAGAATGTGGGGGAAGGTGAAGCCCGGCTCGGGCAAGAACAGTGAAAGTATTGTCCAGTTCTGGAGAGGAATCTTTTCTTAAAAAAAAAAAAGCTGAGAGTTCAGGGAAGCTCAAATGCCTCGTTTTATTTTGCTTATGGATGAGATGAATATTTCATGATATACAAAGACCATGAAGAGAACCCATCCTCATTAACTGAGAGGGAAGTCAAGCTGCAGGGGGCTGGGTGGCTCAGAAGAGCTCAAGAAAGTAGCATCACTCCAGTCCCACAGTAATTAGGCTCTGTTGGTACCCCTTCTCCTCTCCAGCAGTTAGTCAAGCCCACAACAAAGAAAGAGGCAAGGACACCTACATGGAGAGAAACACGGAAGAGGAGAGTGATCTATGCCCCACGAATATAAACATGAGCAGGGACCCAGCCAACTCTGGGCAGAAAGCCAAGGGGAAGGATGGCTGTGAGGACGGAAAGCACAGAACTACAGCTTCGGGTAGGCATCACCTGCCAGATTAAATCTCCTGCAATTCCTAAATCTAAACCAAAGATCCTGTTCTCTACAATGAGGAAAGCCCATCCAAGGGTGACGGAACATGCCTAGATGGGATGGAGCCTGGGCTGGGAGGAAGTGGAATCTCTAAGGCAGGAAGTCATCCCCAGAAGTGAAAGGTAAGAAGTCCACCCAGGGGTCAGGTTCCCACACCCAACTCCTGGGAGCCTAGGGTTATGACCCAGCCAGCCCAATGCTACCAATGTCCTGCAAGCCCAATGCCAGCCAGTGACCTGGCCCCACCCTCTTGTAGGTGACAAACCATTCCTTTCTTAAAACGTGGAGATTTTGCTTCAGGAAATGTGGATGGCTGAGATCATGTCATGACCTTTGCAATATCACTATTGCACCCTACACACACACACACAACACACATGCACATGCACACGCACACACACTTTCCCTTTGTCATTACTCTGTGCTTGCTGGGTTCAGGGGATGTCCACAGCAGGCGAAAAACAGTCTGCACAATTCCCCCTAATGTGTGAGAAAATGGGAATGAGGTAGTGCAAAAAAGATTATGAAATTTTTAACTGATCTATCTTACATACCAGAGTATGTGAAGAGAGATTCCTGCCTCCCCTGGTTTCTGGACCCTTCCCAAACCACCACTAAAAGATGCTGTCCTGTCGGTGACTCATAGGCCACAAGCAGATGCCTTATAAGCAGCCCAAGAGAAGAGAAGGGAGAGGAGCGTCAGGAAGGAGTCCTCAGAAAGGCAATATGCAGAGGGGACAGAAAAACCCAAGCAAAGGCAGTGGGAGAGACATCTTTGAGGGTTCAACTGAGAGTGAACACGTGTTGTTCTAAGGAGGCAGCAAACATTTAGACAGGGCTAGAAAGTAGGGGCCCTATGCAAAAGTGAGGTTACAACATGGGACAGGACCGAGCAAGCACTACCGTGCTTGATCAATACAAAACTTTAGCAAGAGCTATGAATGCACTCCCCAAATATTTAAATTTAAAATAATGTCATTTCAACATACCTATGTTCAATTCTTTGATATTTTCAACCACTTTTAATAACCCAGAAACAATCATTAAAAATAACAAATTAAAACATGTGTCCAGAGGCATACATTTTTTCCCTTTACCTCAGGCTCCCATACGACTTAACACATCATCTTTGCTGGAGCTTGTCTTTATTTAAAATTGTGACATTTTTGATCACCATGGGTTTTTTGGCATTAATTTTGAACTTTTAAAACACTGCACTGTAATATTATTTAAACAAACACATGAAAAGATGCTCAAAATCACTAATCATTAGGAAAATGCAAATCAAAACCACAATAAGATACCACCAGACACCCATGAGGATGGCAACTAACCAAAACCAAAAAGATAACAAACTAAAAAAAACAGAAAACAACAGATGTTGGAGATGATGTGGAGAAACTGTGCACTGTCAGTGGGGACATAAAACAGAGCAGCCACTGTGGAAAACAAAATGGAGATTCCTCAAAAATTAAAAATAGAATTACCATATATGATCCAGATATTCCACTTTAGGGTATATATTCTAAGAGCAGAAAGCACAGTCTCAAAGAGATATTTGTACACGCATGTTCACAGAGGCACCACGCACAACAGCCAAAAGGAGGAAGCAACCCAGTGTCCACTGATGGATAAATGGACAAACAAAACATGGTCTATACATACAAGAGAGTATTATTCAGTCTTCAAAAGGAAGGAAATTCTGACACACGCTACAACATGGATGAACCTGGAGGACATATGCTAAGTAAAATAAGCCAGACACAAAATGACTTCTATGAGATATTTAAAATAGTCCATTTCAGAGACAGGAAGTAGAATGGTAGATGCCACGAACTGGGGGAGGTGAGAATGGGGGTTTGTTGTTTTAATGGGTACAGAGTTTCAGTTTTGCAGATGAGAAGAGTTCTGGAGATTGGGTGCACAGCAATGTGAATGTATTTAGCTCTACTGAACTATACACTCAAAAACAGTTAAGATAGTATATTTTACTTTATGTACATTTTACTACAGTTTTTAAAACGATTATTTGTCTTGACTAGAGTTTTTCCATATTGGGGTAGTGCACGGGGTAATGGGAAGTCATACTCTGAAAGCCAATTATCTGGAGTCTAGAAAGTCAGTAATAGCAGGAAAAGCAAGAAATCTCTTCTAGTTGCCAGGTCAGTTCTCTGAGCAGTGTCCCTCCAACCATTCAGTCTCTCCTCTCCATGCAACAGGAGGCACCAAGAACTCCTGAGCAGGTGTTCCTGAGTGGGGGGTCCTCCCTCCCCAGCCCGTAGACGGGCCCGAGCAAACTTATACTGGCAAATGCTTGACCCCAAGGGTGGGAAATGGGGAACGGGACCTGAGCAGGAAGGACTGATCATCTGCCTCTGAGGCCTCAGGTTGGGTTGGAAGCCACACATTTTCCAAACCAGAATAGTCTGTCAAGGATTTCTGGGCAGTTTTTGAGTGGGAGAAATGCAATGTTGGCATTTCTGGGACATCATGATTGATAGAAGAGACAAGATCGTGTATTTAGGATCTGGGCTCTCTCCTCAAATTCAGAACGTGGGATCACTGAAATGGCATTAGAACAGCAGGCCATGCTCTGAGCACTTCAGACTAAGAAAATGGTTTAAACTATAATTTAATTTGTATGAGTCACAGGGTTGGGGAAGATGGTAGATGCTGAAAATGTAGGCTATGCAGCCAGATCGGTTTCTCTCTATAACTAAGTTACCAAGGAACACATAAGCCAAAACTGAACCCCTTTACAGAAACTGGCATGCTTTGGGAAACCGGTGACACCTCACACTCTTTACCCTGATTCAAACATTGACCACTAGGCTTAATCTCGTACATTACTTTTACTAGGCATGGCATACATCCTGAATTAATTCTTTTTTGTTAGATTAGCATTATTAACCTTGCTTAACAATTGACATTTTTTTAAATTCTCTGGAGATAGCCACTTCGCCATCAGAACAAAGGTATAAGCTACCTAGAGCAGTACCACCGAAGAGCTCTAGCAGAACCTCTCCCCTGCTCGCTTGGGGGCACTAAGAATCTGAATCCACAAAGTGTGTTATCAGGGACAGGCTTTGTGACTCAAACTCCTGCCTGGTCTCCTGACCCCCTAGCCCCTTAATGCAACTGCCTCCTCCTCAGGCCCCATGCTCTTCTCCCGGGAGCCTCTGTAGCACCATCATGTGAACAGAGGAACCTGTTAAGCAGATGTATCCTGTAGCTTCTTCGCTTCTCGCAAAGAGTAGTTCTTGCCTTACACTGAAGCTAGAGGTCTCTGTCAATAACAAAATGAGTAGGAGGGTGGAGGTCGGGATGGGCTCTCTCAGACCTCTAGCTGGGTCACACCGCAGCATCTCACACTCGAACACGAGCTTCCTTCCCTGCTTTCCTCAGCAGGGTTCACTCGGTATCTTTGGCACTTTGCAATTTCATCAGCCCCAAAGAAACTCCCACCTCTTGGTTTTCTGAGTAACCTTCCAGCACTGTTTTTTCTGAACCTACTCCTCACTGATTTGGTGACCTCATTTTCTATGCCTGTGAAACTCTCTGATCATACTCTCTGATAAAAAGGGGAAGTTCACTCTGCCTCCACAGAGGTTCCTGTGGGGCCGGGGCTCTGGCCCTCCCAAGAGGCAGGTCAATCCGCTGTCTGCCGTCACTGACAGGTGGGACAGCAGAAAACCCACAAGATGTGTTGGCATCCTGGCTACAGCATCCGCTAACCTGGGCAGCAGAGCAGTTCTGCCTTCCCAGGAACTGAGTCCAGCACTGAAACATTCGGGCCACATCTCCAGAAGGTTCTCAAGTTCGTTCAACGCACATAACTTAGGCCACTTCCCTGGGTGGTAATAAACTTATGCCTGTTGCTGGGCTGACAGATTCAGCAGTAATATCATGAACTGCCCCTGGACCATATAAATAATGAAAAAGATTCCATTAGTCCCTAACTAGTGCTTTATTTCCTAAAGTTACAGAAAATCACACTGTGTTGTTGTGTGTTTTTTGGATCCCAGGTACCTGGAGGGCGTTTTCCTTTCAGTTTCCTTAAATTCCAAGTAATTACACTGTCACCATCCTTTACGGCAAGTGGGGGAAACTCCACACACTCTGTTCTCTCCGCAAATGCATGGAATCTGAAACAGCAAGAGATTTGCAACATTAGGCTAGTAATGCTATTTGTGCATGTCTACTCATTCTCCCAACACCGTGAATTTACTCTGCTGTGGTGCCGAGCATCTTAGATGTTTCACGGCTATTCCCTGTACCTGGTCAGTTCTGCCAAAACAAAAGACAGGGAGGCAAAACAGAAGAGCGAACTGTGAATGTTGTTGGGATTTTAACGCATGACTCCTCTCTTCTCTTAGAGGGTAATTAACCCAACCAAATGGTATGTATTGACCCTGAAAAAATGATACCCTCTACTTTATATTTATCCTTCTGTTCCCAGGGTTCAATCATGTCAAAAGAGTGTTGACAAGCCAACAGTCTAATGAGGCCTCAACAGTGCCCACGGCCCGGTGGGTTCAGTGTTGAAAGCTGGTGACAACAGGCACCATTGGCTCATCTGCCAATTGCCGACGGGCTTCAGTCAACTTTAACTCGGCAAATATGCACTTCCCCAGAAACTAAGCGGAAACCCTAATGAAAAGAATTCTTGTGTGGACAAGTTTTTAGGGCCTGACTCCTCAAAATGTGATCCGAGGGGCAGCAGCAGCACCTGGGAGCTGCTTAGGAATGCACATTCCTGGGCCCTACCTGGAGCTGCTGAGTCAGAATAAGCACTTGAACAAGATCCCTGGGGGATTCAAGAAGCACTGGTGTGGTCTACAAAATGAGGGGCTAAGCACACCCTTGACAATCTGGAATCCAAAAAGTCAATGATAGCAGGAAATTTCTTTCAGATTAACAGATCATCTCTGGGTAATGCTCTTCTGACCCCTTAAGAGTTCCACCTTTGCCTGTTTCTCAGCACGAAGAGAATCCTGAAGCAGGGGCTGGGATGGACAGATGGATGCACGGATGGTAGGAGAGGTGTGGGGGCTTTACCTGGGCCATGGAAAGCCTGGGTCCTATTTCTAGAGGGTTTCAGGTGAGACTAAAACAATGACAATGGCAATCCACAAGCCAGCCTTGTCCCAACAGCCCTCTTGAGGCCAATGGACCCTTAACCTGGCCATGCCTGCCTCCCACAGGTGCTTCCACTAGAGCAGACCTGTGATCTCCTTACAAAGCGGAGGGGGGATGGCTGAGGTTTGTCCTGCCAGGTCCCACACCCTGAGTGCCAAGGCCTTTGGTGCCCAGGACTTTCTACTCTCTGATCTGTTCTCCAGATTAGAAAAGAGAACAGGGCAGACACTCCCTCTGGCTAACACAACCTCATTTATGCAGAAAGCAAAACATGCTTTGCAGGTTGGTGGCTCTGTTCAGACACAGACTCAGGCACGGGGGAACCAAGAATCCAGCCTCCCTGCAAGCTGAGCTCAGGGCACGCCCTTTAGAGTTCCATAATGACTGCACTTCAGCTGAGGCTCACCAGCGAAGGGTGTGCGGAGGCCAACCAAGAGACTTGGGGATCTGGCAGGGGTGGAGCAGGCAGGAGCCCCACCGGTTGTGGGTTGGGCTCACTTGCAAGGGCCAGAGCAGGGACAGAAAAGCATGTCTACAAATCGTCCTCTCCGGGAAAACTCACATTCAATGGTACATGGCCTAAAAATCAAGAGCTGAACTGCAGCTTCTCCCATTTTAAATTACTCCCTAACCTCTCACCTGCCCAGAGAAAGTGCCCCACGTGAATCAAGCAGAGGACCAGCAAGACAGGGAGTCCTGCCAGTTGCCTTCTACTCTCTCCACTAGCAAAAGTGGGACAGTGAGCCCCCCTGTATTTGGGGGGATTTAGGAACCCAGAATTGAAGCCAAACACCTAATGTTAAAAGATTTCAAAGTTTTAATGGTAGCCAGAGCAGTGGTCTTCAGAATCACCAGGGATCCTGTTAAGTATGAGTATTCTTGGCCCTCCCGTAACACCCAAAAATCAGGATCTCTGGGGCTGTGGCCAAGATATCTGCATTTTAATCAAACTCCCTAGGCAGCTCTTATGCAAAGTGAGTGATTAAATTCCTGTTCCCAGGATCCCCTCTATTATGTAGAATCAGGCTGTAAGGTGAAGCCCTGGACCTCTGAATTATTAACAAGCTCCCCAGGCAAATGTGATGAGCAATCAAATTTGGGAACACATGCTCAAGGGCAGTAATTGTACCCATTTCAGACAGGCTAACTGAGGCAAGAACTCAGTCATTCTCCTTATAAACGCATAAGTAGCTGATCTCTCTCCACAAGGGACCTAAACCTATCCACACAGACAAGGGGATGGGTATGTTTTTAAAATGTAGATTCAGTTATTTTTCAGCTATGATGAGGCCACCAGATCAGTATAACTACCACTGAAAATATAGTTTGCTACTCACAGTTCCTGCTATAGACTGTATTGTGGCCCCACCCCCCAAATTCATATGTTGAAGCCTTAACCCCCCAATGTAACCATATTTGACCGTATTTGGAGATAGAGCCTTTAGGAGGTAATTAAGGTTAAACGAGGTCATAAGGCTAGGGCCCTGATCCAACAGAATTAGTACTTTTTTTTTTTTTAGATTTATTTTAGAGAGAGAGAAAGAGCATGTGCACAAGCAAAGAGAGGGGCAGAGAGAGAGGGAGAGAATCTCAAGCAGTCAAGCAGACTCCCTGCTGAGCGCAGAGCCCCATGGGGCAGCTTGATCTCTCCACCCTAAGATCATGACCTGAGCAGAAATCAAGAGTCAGACGCTTAACCAACTGAGCTACCCAGGCACCCCAGGATTAGTATCTTTTTAAGAAGATATACCAGAGAACTTACAGGCATGTTTGTGCTTTCTCTCTCTCTCTCTCTCTCCCCCTTCATCCTTCCTTTCCTCTGTCCCATGAGAGGATATAGTTAAGAAGGCAGCCTGGAAGAGAGTACTCACCAGAAATCTGCCAGCACCTTGATCTTGGGCTTCCTAGCCTCCAGAAGTGTGAGAAATAAATTTCTATTGTTTAAGCCATCCAGTCTGTGGTATCTGGCGACCCAAACTAACTACTAATACAGTTCTCAAGAGGAGGGGGCACACCCCATCACACCGGGCCACACAGGGAAGCACCAGGGCCGGTCAGGAGGCATGAGGGAACAAGGGGAAAACATGGGCCAGAGTCTTTAGTGTGGATTCTGCAGCATGGAATGGGTGAGGCAGAGCAGGCAGGTTTGGGATGGGCTAGTTGAATAACTTCAGTGGGTTCTGGGGTGTAGGAGCTGCCCCAAGCTGTCCAGTACCGGGCCCCGCCATGATTACTGCAGGGGAATAGTGGTCCTGAGCATGAGTGCCTGCTGGCACTGAGTGGGCTCTGGATCAGTTAGCTTGCATATGAAAGGTACACTCCTGGGTGAGTCAGCTAAGCTCTCTAGGACTTAGCTGGCCTTGGAGGGGGCAGCAAGGACCCTGATGTCAAACCATCAGAATTACAGAAAGTAACAAGGCAAGATTAATACAGCGTGGAGAAAAAAAGGCCTAGAGACTAAAGACCACCCGAAAGAGGAGAGCACAAGAACAGACTGGTTAGGAAGACCACTGCTGATCTTGCGGAAGCAGGCAGCTCACCCACTGTCCCTCAAGAGCACATTTTCTGCCTACCTGCTGTGGGTCTTGGCACTCAGATCCTTTAAGAAAGCTGTCGTGCCTTCTCCTCTGGCATTGAAGGACACTGTGCAGACAGGACATGGGATCTCCAAAGCCCTCTGAAGGAGGAGCCCCTTGGTTTGCTCAGGAACATCTCCCACCACAAAGTAGTAAATGGATTCAATCTGCAAGACAATAGTACCCACGGTTTATCTCCCTGACATACCCTAGCCTTGTATGGGACTCCCTGGCAGTATGCTTTCTACAAAACTGCCTTTGCTCCTGGGGGGGGCGGCAAGAATAGCGGCACTGCTCCTTGTGAGGACGTTTGGGGACCAAAATCAGGAAGTGAGATATTCAAGGCCTGCTGCCTTCCACGGTGTTTGACCTCCCTGCCACTAACAAGTTCTGTGAACTTGGGCAAGTGACGTAAGTTTGGTTTCTTCACTTATAAAAAGGGAGGTAATGCAGTGTACCTCATGACTGAGTTTAAACAAGAGGACTTGCACTTATGCATGCATGTATCTCAGAAAGTTAAAACCCAGAGAGAGCTGGGAATCCCTATCATCTACACCTACCCCTTAAAACCCCCTAATTGACTGTTTCCACAAAAAACTGGGGAAGAATCCCAAAAAAATGCATTGGGTTTGAAGGGATAAATAGATGTCACCATCCCCTTAGGGCTCATGAGCCTTTCTCTACTCTAATCACAAACCCCTGCTAGCTGAAGGTAAACAGTCAGGTACCTCAGTTCAACCTCAAACCTGGGACTTAAACCCACCTGACGCAGAAAGAAGAGGACTTACGGTCAGCTGGGCCACCCTGTCTGCAGCAGCTAGGGCCGACTGTGCCCAAAGGGGCAGTGGGAGCAGGGTGGCAGAGGGCCCCTGCTGGGAGGGAGGCCATGGCCACAGTGGGAGCTGAGAGCAACCTACTCCAGCGACAACCTTCCTTCCATGGGGCTCGAAAAGGCCCACCTCACCTCCGTGACTCTTTCTCTCAGGCCTTTCAAACCCGCTCCCCGATTTTAAAAAGGACTGAATGGGAAGTAAAAACTGAGCAATGTTGTATATCTCTTTTGGCCAGTTGCCAAGAGACAAAAAATACTGAGAGAAGGAAGAAATGGTGCTCTCTACATTCCTTATCAGGCAACTAATATTCTCCCAGCAAATGCATTCTCCTTCCCTTCTCCCCCCGCGTTACACAGTAGCTTGTGCGAGAGGCGTTCAGTAGGCTTCCCTGCACTGCACTGTTAGTGCTCCAGCTGGGTCGGGGCCCAAGCTTAGCACGGGGACTGGTTCACCCTCACATAAGGATCTAAAGTCACACGTGGCCCAAGAGAGGAGATCAGACACAGGGAGTATTTTGTAAGATTTGTTAGTTCAATGGGGAGATGAGTGAGGACAAACATCTCTAGGTGGTCTGTCGGCGGCTTCTGACACCATGCATCTCTGTTGCACGTCACGCAAACTCAGCTTCTCTGCTCTGGCAATGACCCAAGAGTCTGAAATCCTTGTGCAGAAACGTCTTTCCCTTGAGATTTCATCAAGCTAAAAATTGCTGTAGCCAGCAGTGAGCCAGGATTTCCTTTCCTTCACTCAGTCTCCAGGGTTATTCACTATTCATTAAGTTCATTTCTCAGCTGCTTAATTGCCTGTGTTTTCGGTTATCCGTGCTACGGATTTCCTGGGACATGCTCTACAATGAGACCACCTATCTCACCCCCAACCCCTCCTGCTCACTGCCTCCCTGCCTCTCCTTTCCACTCACATAATGACACTGAGAAAAAAGGAGAGGAAAGTAAATATGCCACCTAGCCCCACCCCCCACCAACTGGCAAAATGCCTTTTAAAGTGACGTGGCTGTGGGGTCATCTGCTCTTTGCAATGATAAGTCAACATGAATTCTTTTATTCAATGCTCACAGAAGTCCTGTGGAAAAGGAATTCTTGTTATCACACCTAGTTTACAGATGAAGAAACGAAGGACTGGACAGGTTAATTGACCTGGTCTTTCAGCTAGTAAGTCCAGCTGCCTGACCCTATGAGCTTCTGCCTTTGCTTTCAACCACTTCATTTGGTCAGCTCATCATAGCAAGGCTGGTCACCTCTTAGAAACAGATGTGAGGGGCGCCTGGGTGGCTCAGTGGGTGTAGTGTCTGCCTTCGGCTCAGGTCATGATCCCGGGGTCCTGGGATCGAGTCTCACATGGGGCTCCCTGCTCGGCGGGAAGTCTGCTTCTCCCTGTCTTTCCCCTTGGCTTATGCTCTCTCTCGTGCTCTCTCTCACTCTCTCTGTCTCAAATAAATAAATAAAATCTTTAGGAAGGAAGGGAGGAAGGGAGGGAGGAAGGGAAGGAGGGAGGGAGGGAGGGAGGGAGGGAGGGACGTGAGTCCCAGAACTGTGCGAGCAAGATCCTGGGACAGGAAGGTGGCCAGAGACAGGCACTCTTTTCACTCCCTTGGCTCTCACACCATCCAAGGCTCCTAGCCCCTGATATCAACGTCCCTGACTAAAACCTGGGTGAGGTTGTATGGGCTCAAGGGAACTGTCCTCAGTGGAACCCTCTCCCCTGGCCCAGGAGCTCAGTACCTCTGAGTAACTCAGTAGCTCAGTACCTCTAAGTACCTCAGTAGCTCAGTAGCTCAGGGCAGGGGCCGAGCCTGAGGATTAGCAGGAGCAGCTGGGGCCAGGAGCAGCTTTCTCACTGACCAGCATTTCCCTAAACGCTAATTTGTACTGAATTTGATAACACAAGATATAAACAGTATTTGGGATTCCATTCGGCTATTGTACTGGGAATCAAAAACTCTTGCCACTTTACACTACATAAAAGAGGGTAGGGCGTTTCTGTTTCCCCTTGAAATGCCTTATTCTGTCTGGGTCATTAGCTCTGCAGTGTCCACGGCAGCCTGCATTCCGCCCAGCCAAAGAGGCCTTGACGTCTTCTCAGACACAGATCTGGGGGAAAAGAAGAACCAGACTGGCAGTGGCTGCTTCCGCCCTGACTATCCGCGGCTGTAGCCTGTCAGAAGCCTCGGGCCATCAAAATCTCCACTCTGCAAGAATCAAAGTCAAATGAAAGGCACCCACAACAGCAGTGAGAGGTCTAGCAAAATTCTGTCTTGGTCTTCATAAAACTTTGACTGTTTCAACAGTTTTGACCAACTCCAGACTGTGGATCTGACTTCCAGATCTTCCCTGTACCTGTGGCAGCCCTTTCCTTATTCGGCCCTTTCTGATTTTCTGATCTCCAACCTCCCCCCACACACACACGGTGGTGACTGCCCTCTTGATGTTAATCCAGCTCAGTTCTCCAATCCCTCCTTAACACCCTTAACACCACCACCAACTTTCTGGCCTGCCAGGTTTCGGGGTCCCTGTCTCCACCCACTATCCCCACCAGAGTCCTACAAGGCTCAGCAAATCCACCTGCCTGGTCCCATGCAGACTACCACCCTTCAATTAAAAAAACTCAAGTCTGTTCCATGGTGTGGGGAATGGGAACTTCTTGGACCCACATCCAGCCCCAACTTCAAGAATATCAACACTACTTCTTTCCCATTCCTTCAACGTTCAACATTTATCGAGCCCTTGCCAGGCACTGCCATTTCTAGGGACACAAAGGTGAAAAGATCTGATGCCTGGCTGAACCACTGCCATGCTTGTGATTAGCATGGCCAGCCCTTCAGTTTACTGTCCAGTGGTGAAGGTTTCTGATGGACTCACATAGGTCTGGCTCTAATTCACCCATTTACTCTCCCAGTGAAGAGGTTATTTTTTTTTAAAGTAAACAAATGTGTGCCGACCAGCCGGATGGAAGAGAGGCTGAGATACCACAAAGAGAAACACAGGTACCCTTTGGGCAGGTAGCCTTCTGCTGAAAGCACAAGTAAAACCCCCTCAGTTAGCCTTCTCAGGTAGGTGGGAATCAGGGCTTTGGATGACCAGCCTTCTCTTCCCAAATAACCTCTCCCATCTTGGATCAGCAGGCCTTCCAGGGCCTCCTGGCACAACACCCCTCCTAATTAAGGCCAGGGAAGCTCCAACTTCCCAAAGAAGCACCCTAGGACCAGAGGATACTGCAGAGCAGAAACCCAGGCCTGGACGGCATACCTGGGCTCTGAGGACAATGCCAGACATTGCCTCAGTATCCCACAGGCTGCCCTTCCAATGAGCCAGGCCCTTTTGCACAGGATCCAACAGGATACTTCATCCATCAATAGTGCTCTCCATGTGCTGCCATCAGAGCTGGGACTCAAGCAGACCCCACACTGCCTGGCTCCTCTGGAGTTAAAGGCTCACCCTCAGTCACCCCTGCCTGTTCAGTCTCTGGCCTGACTATGGGTACAAAGCCCAGCTCTGAAAGAGGCCAGTAACCTCTGAGCATCCGCCTTACCCTTACCAAGCACATCAGTTAGCCCTTCCTCTTCATGTGGATTGGATACAAAAGCCCAACTTCCATGTTAATCTTTGAACATAAAACAATAGCCACTCTCTTGGTTTTTCTCAGGACTCACTCATGGGAGATGCTAACCTGAAGCAGGTTATCATCAGTAGCAAAAGTCTGGGTATCTAGATTTACTGTTCAAAAGTTTCTTAAGCTTTATATCTTTTCTATTTATAGAAAAAACCAGTTATGTGAATCAATTTGAAATTCAGTGGGGTGGGCATGAGGCACAGAGCAGAGGGGCAGCCCATTAGGGGAAGCCATTCCTCTCCCCATCCCCACACCTCACAAAACATAGAGCATGGCATTTTTATATAGGAGGCAGTTGCAGTTAGTAGAAGTTTCCTAGGGACCACATCCAGATATAAGCTCTAGGAGGGAGGATAGAGTGGTCTGAGTATGTTTTATATTTGCCATACTCCACAGTCTCTTCTCAAGAATTTTTAAGTAGCATTTGATAATCAGTGCCTATTAACCTCTTTCTGGGTTTCTCCTCTTCTATAGGACTTGCCTGGAACTCACTAAATTGTTCCACATTTCCTGGGCTGGGGATGAATCCAAGAAAGGAGAAGCACAAACCAAAGGAAAGTAAAACAGAAAAATCAAAGGTCACTGGGAAATCTTCAAGTCATGGCAGGTCGCCAGAGTCAGCTATGACCAATGTAGCTAGGTGAACAAAGAAACAGAACACCTGAGAGTGAGTGTGTGTGTGTGTGTGTGTGTACATGCAGGCATGCACGCGCACACACACACACACACTCATCCAAGAGCCTGTGTAATGTTCCATTTCTTGAATGCTTATTATAGTGCCCAGACAATTGAAATTTTACAGATGTTAAAACAAACTTGAAAGGCCAAAGAACAAAGTAGCTTCTATTTTGTTCTTTAATGGGAACCATTTGTTCCTCTGGCTTCGAAAGGATAAACAATGCATTTCCAATTTTAAACTATTTTCCTCAGTATCAATAAACAGTCTGGTGACCACTGAGGGCTATCCTTTCAAGGCGCCAGCACATGGCCTCCTTGCCCAAGAAAGGACTTCTTAATGTAGCAGAGTAAAGCTCGAAATCTACAGAATCATAGGAGTCCAGAGCAGAGGAAGCAATTAAGTGGTAATTAATATCAATCCATAAGTATTAGTTCAGTATCTGTATCCCAAAGGAAAGCAGATCTATCCCTACCTGGGAAGCTGAGGCTGGCCAAAGAACCCCATCTGCCCAGAGTCCTTCCCCACTAGCTTGCCACTCCCTTCAAGTCCCATCCGTATGATCACTCACAAAAACACACACCCTTATGGCTAAAAGAACATAAACCACCACCATTTCAGCACTTCTTTCAGGTAAAGCTTTATGTCCAAAAGGTCCTATCAAAAAGCACATGTGGGGCGCCTGGGTGGCTCAGTTGGTTAAGTGACTGCCTTCGGCTCAGGTCATGATCCTGGAGTCCCGGGATCGAGTCCCACGTCAGGCTCCCTGCTCAGCAGGGAGTCTGCCTCTCTCTCTGACCCTCCCCCCTCTCATGTGCTCTCTCTCATTCTCTCTCTCTCAAATAAATAAATAAAATCTTAAAAAAAAAAAAAACATGTGAATGCATTAATATTCAAAAATGGATGATGCATCTATGTAGATATACTTCACCTTGGAAAGCACATAACAGATCCATTTGTGAAGAAGAGGAACTGGGAGAGATTCAGAACATAGATGTGGGGAATCCCTATTTCCTCAACCTCGGGGTTCTATGAAGAGTCTCCCAACCTCTCTCCCTCATAAGAGATGGACTGATTTATCTAATTGTCAGGAGCACAAGAGCAGAACTAAAATATGAGAGATGCACAACTATGCCGAATTCCCTGTCCTTTCTCACTGCTCAGTGGCTGTGAGCAGCACGTGGCCCTGCTGGCACTGGCTAAATGGGGCTTGACCCTGTGCCCTAATCACCCAGAGGGAGCCCCGCCAGGCTCAGGGGGCAGGGTTAGGGAGTCTCATTTTGGTTTCTCCAGCTCTGCCATCACCAAAGCTGCTATTTTGATCCCCACTTGGGGCCCGTCACCTATTTCTCAAGTGGTTCCAAATTCAGAGGTGAAGAGGACTGAGACTTTCAGGACTCCCCAGTGCCAGTGATGGGGTCTCTGTGGGATGCTGCTGGGAGGACCCAGGTCAGCTGAAAGGCAGTATGGGGGTACTGGGTGTAGAGAAAGAAACTGGAAGCCACCAGTGTGACCTGGGGCCCGCCATGGATGCACACTTACCGTTTTGTCGTTCCCAGCTTCCAGCAGAGCGTCCAGGCAGCTAGCCTGGCTCACAGCCAGCTCAAAAGGCAGTTTCTCAACCCAACTGATGGCAGCGGCTATGGACTGCTCGGTCACAGGAACAGCATTTTCCTGCCATTTCACAGGCCGCTGGGAAACCCTGAAAAGAATCCCACGGGGCTGTCACTGGGCAGTGGGCAACCTAGCTGTCAGCCCTCAGTCTCAGAGCTGCAAGCGACAAGCTACTTAACATCACCAGAGCTGAAGGAGAGAAAACAGTTCCTGGCCCTCTAAAAGTTACCAATACATTGGGCGAGCTGTTTAAGATCAGTCTCCAAAGCACCCTTACCTTCCATAAGCTGTACTGACTAGGAAAGACAATGCATACAGGAGAATTAAACAATCTCAAAAATGTAAACATTAACGGCTGCATTAAAATTATTGAGGGAATTATTTTCATAAACAGGCAGGTTTATATACAACTATCTTCCACTAATAGTAAATTTATAAGGATTCACAGCAGTAAGATTTGTAAATCAGCGACAATTTTAACAGTCGAAAATTTTATTTCTAATTCTTTTAAGACATTGTTTTCATTGTTCCAAATTCCCATCAGTTCCCTCTTCTGGATCAAAAACAGTATTGAGTTCAGCAAAGTATTAGTTTTTAAATCCTGGGAACATGTGATTAAACCATGTAGTGTGGACTTAGAAAGAAAGCAGTGATGGAATCCCCCCAAGAAAGAATAGCCATTTGAATCTCTTTATCTCTGTGTTTATAATTGAACAAATTATATAAATCATATATGCATTCACAATTATAAGAATTCTATGAGTCAAGGACTAATGAACCAGCCTGAGCTGTCCCTCATAAACCACCCTGAGACAGAAGCTGCCGCACACCTGTGTCACCTCTATGTGGCCCCTCTGGTAGAAATGTGGCTGAGTGGCCTAAATGCTATAGCGTAGGTTTCCAAAAAAGCTAAAGTGTTGCAGACTTAAGACTTGATTCCTTCAGTAATATATCTATGACAGAAATAAAAATCTGGGATAGAACACAATTAGGCAACATCCCCAAAGATGTCATCTGTTTAGCTGAAGATATTTTCTTCAAAAGAAAAACTCAATTAGGTAGATGCCTCCTTCATCCAGATTTTTCCTGTCAGGGAGGTACAGCCACTGTTCCACATGAAAAGTTGGCCTTAGAGCCCAAATTCTCTTGAATCCAAGAATCTGTAAATAATTGATTGTGAAAACTCTGAAATATAGGAAATTCTATAAAGCCGGCCACCTGCTGTTCTATTAAGGGGGTCAACTTACAATGGGGTCACAAGCTCAGTCTGAAAAAAACAGTGATAGCTGTGACAAGGCTGAATTCATTATTCAGGCTAAAATCTAAAATGACCAAAGAGATTTGTATGGCCTTAAGTATATATTCAGTGTAATTCCTATTCTTATATTTTGATCTTGCCATGAATTGAAGAAAAGTGTGTTTCTAAATGTCTTCTAATTTCAAAACTAAGATGCCACATGCAAAACAGATATAAGTTTTCACTGTGGGTCTTCTGCTGGAATTACACATTCTAGGAAATGACAAGATAATACCTCCTCCCTCCCCGAAGATATGTTACTTAACTCTAAATAAATGAAAACTACTTATGAAGTTTCACTGAAATATTCCCTTCCAAAGGGAACTCACCGTATGATATTAAACTTGGCTATATGAGCCACCTGCTCCTGGAGGACCATTGTTAGAGCATCTTGGCACAGATTAAGCTCCTCCTCCAGCATGCCACCAAAATCCAGCACTATGGTGATGCACTGTTCCAAGACGACACCAAAAATCTGCCGGCTTCTGCTGGTGAGCCAGTCCATCCGCTGCTTGTAACTCTCCACAGCTTGTGTTAAATGTTCCACAAACTGATAGATCAGTTCTGATTTAGCTGTCAACTTAATGAAAATCAAAGCAGAAAAAAAAAAGAAACAGAACAAAAACACACCAACATACATCATCTGAACTATCGTGCAGCCAGGAACAATGGGGCCCACTGAGTCATGGCCTCTGCTATCAAGAACTGGGCATCAGGGGCACCTGGGTGGTTCAGTCGGTTAAGCGTCTGCCTTCGGCTCAGGTCATGATCCCAGGGTCCTGGGATTGACTCCTACATCGGGCTCCCTGCTCAGCAGAGAGCCTGCTTCTCCCTCTCCCTCTGCTGCTGCTCTGCCTACTTGTGCTCTCTCTCTCTCTCTGTCAAATAAATAAAATCTTTAAAAAAAAAAAAAAAAGAATATTAAGAACTGGGCATTAATAACAATTTTGTAGATGATCCTCTAAACCCCACATAATCCACGAGGAAGTGTCCCAATATTTCAACTAAAAAAACCTTTGGATGATTCCCCACAGAAGAAATGATGATGTGATCTTTTCAAAATACAGCACTCTTTTTTAAAAAACATGTGTTTCTAAATTACATTTTATCTTTATAATTATAGAATTACCTTCACCAGCAAATGTTCAGGGGACATTTTAAGGAATTACGTAGAAGAAAAGAACTTTTAAAGGAATTAGGTAGAAGAGAGAGCAAAGGCAGATGAGAAAAAATAAGTCTCACTAAAGTTTTCCTAAGGACAACATGCCAAAAATATTTCTGAAAATGCTTCTAGACATGCCAGCACATCTGCCTGGCTTCTTCTAAGTGATGCCACCCCATTAACTCACCCTCCTGCTCATAACCTGTGCCCTGTATTCTCTTGTCTCTCAGGCCAAGCTCCCCGGTACCTGGATCACTTGATCACTCATAGCTGCCACCAACACCTCTAGAGGCTGTCCCCAAAAGGTGACAGAGGCTTGCAGGCAATTTCTCATATACACAAATAAACCATCAGTCACACAGATCAAGCACAACTGTGCAAGGCATCTCAGGGTGTAGGGAGGCAAGAGACAGAAAAGGAGTAAGAAAATAATGTGCCCTCTTCTGTGAAGAATCAAAGTTTGAAAGATCTGGTACTTATTTTTAACTTTAACAACCCTTAGAACACCCCCTAAATACCTAAACTGTCAAGGAAAATGTGTTTTCTGAACACACCACGTAACTCCACATTTTCATGCCTTGGTTCGTGCTGTTCCCTCTGACTTAAAATGCTTTCCTTCTCTATCCCCTACGTCTCTTCAGCTTATTCCTCAAGCTCCAGCACCAATTCCTATTGCTTTCCATGGCTGCTAAAGGCAAAATTCCTAAATCTCTCACCAGTATCCACAGCACTTATTAAACTTTCTACCACAGTACAGAAACCAGGGAGGGACCATGTCGCAGGGCCTGTGGAGGTGATCAAATGGCAAAGATGGATGTTTTCAATAGTTCTGTACTGATTTCCATGTAGTTCAGATAAAAAATATATTGAGCAGAGGGGAAAGATGGCAGAGGAATAGGGGACCCTATTTCAACTGGTCCCCGAATTGAGCTGGATATCTACCAGACCACTCTGAGCACCCACGAAACCAGCCTCAGATGTAAGAAGATCTGGATCTCTACAAACAGAATATCGCAGGCAGTTGGTTTTGAGGTACGAAGCGGAGAGACGTGATTCTGCGGGCAGATATGGGAGGATAAATGGCAGCGGGAGGGTGCCTGGCCGTGGGGATCCTACACCATCGGTGAGCGACAGCCTCCTGCACTGGGGACGGGGCACAGACTCGCAGACCGTAGCGGCGGGGAAAGGACTTTAGGGCAGCCCCCGGAGTGGAAAACCAGACCGGCAGGGTCACATGCACATGAACCACAGCCCCCCAGACAGAAACCCGGAGCGACGGCCGCGTGCACTCAAACTGCAGCCTCCGAGACAGAAACCCGGTGCGCCAGGGTCGCGCCGGTGAACTGCAGTCCCCGGGACAGAACCTCAAGCGGCAGAGTCATGTGCGCATGCAAACTGGGAGTGGCTGGCGGTTTTAGAAGCACAAAGGGCAGAGACGTGCTCCGACCCGGAGGCAGGACTGGGAGCACTGCGGAAGGGCGCACAACCCAGGACGCTGCAGTTTATAGCAGCACGGACAGAAACGGAGACGGTGTGGCCTGGAGGGCGCACTGAAGAACAGACTGAGGTCTCTCTGCTCTGAGGCACAGGGTTGGAAACGGTCACTTCTGCTCTGACTCGCGGAAGAGACGCAGAAAGCCGCCAGATAAAGCCACCAGAGAACAAAAGCCCCAAACACTGATTCCCACTGAGCCCATCCCCTGCCACAGGGGCGCAGGGCAACTCTGCCCAAACAGGGTTGCCTGAGTAACAGCGCGGCAGGCCTCTCCCGCAGAAGACAGGCTGGGAAAACAAGAGGCCAGCAACCCTAAGGTCCCAAGAAAACAGGTGCATCTTGCTTGGGTTCTGGTCAATAATTTGGACTCTATACATTCCCTCAAACACCCCTCAACAGAATGACTAGGAGGAAGAGCCCCCAAAAAGAAAAGACTCAGAGATTATGACTTATGCTGCAGATTTTCAAATGGATGCAGATATAACCAAGATGTCGGAGATGGAATTCAGGCTAGCAATTGTGAAGACAATGGCTAGAATGGAGAAATCAATTAATGGCAACACAGGGTCTCTAAGGGCAGAAATAAAAGGTGAATTGGCAGAACTTAAAAATGCTATCAATGAGATCCAATCCAATCTAAATAATCTAACAGCTAGGGTAACCAAGACAGAAGAGAGAATAAGCGATCTGGAAGACAATATAATAGATAAAAAGGGAAAAGAGGAGGCCAGGGAAAAACAACTCAGAGTCCATGAAAATAGAATCAGAGAAATAACTGACACCGTGAGGCGTTCCAATGTCAGAATCATTGGAATCCCAGAGGGAGTGGAGAGAGAGAGAGGGCTAGAAGATGTATTTGAGCAAATCGTAGCTGAGAACTTCCCTAATCTGGGGAATGAAACAAACATTAGAGTCCTAGAGGCAGAGAGGACCCCTCCTAAGATCAAGGAAAACAGGCCAACGCCCGGCATGTAATAGTAAAACTTGCAAATCTTAGAGCCAAGGAAACCATCTTAAGGGCAGTTAGGGGGAAAAGATTCCTTACGTATAGAGGGAGGAACATCAGAATAACGTCAGACCTATCTACAGAGACCTGGCAAGCCAGAAAGGCCTGGCAAGACATATTCAGGGTACTAAATGAGAAGAACATGCAGCCAAGAATACTTCATCTGGCAAGGCTTTCATTTAGAATGGATGGAGAGATGCAGAGCTTCCACGACGGGCAGAAGTTGAAAGGATATGTGACCACTAAGCCGGCCCTGCAAGAAATATTAAGGGGCATTCTATAAAAGGAGAAAGACCCCAAGAGTGATCTACAACAAAAATTTACAGGGACAATCTATAAAAACAACGTCTTCACAGGCAACATGATGACAATTAATTCATATCTTTCAATAATCACTCTCAACGTGAATGGCCTAAACGCTCCCATAAAACGGCACAGGGTTGCAGATTGGATAAAAAGACAGGACCCATCCATATGCTGTCTATAAGAGACTCATTTTGAACCTAAAGATACATCCAGACTGAAAGTGAAGGGATGGAGATCCATCTTCCATGCCAGCAGACCTCAAAAGAAAGCTGGGGTAGCAATTCTTATATCAGACAAATTAGATTTTAAACTAAAGTCTGTAATAAGAGACACAGAAGGACACTATATCATTCTTAAAGGGTCTATCCAACAAGAAGATCTAACATTTGTAAATATCTATGCCCCCAACATGGGAGCAGCCATCTACATAAGCCAACGGTTAACCGAAATAAAGAGTCATATTGATAACAATACGTTAATTGTAGGAGACCTCAGTACTCCACTCTCAGCAATGGACAGATCATCTAAGCAGAAAATCAACAAGGAAACAAGAGCTTTGAATGATACATTGGACCACATGGACCTCAGAAATATTTACAGAACATTCCACCCTAAAACAACAGAATACTCATTCTTCTCGAACGCACATGGAACTTTCTCCAGAATAGACCATATACTGGGTCACAAATCAGGTCTCACCCGATACCAAAAGATTGAGATTATTCCCTGCATATTCTCAGACCACAATGCTCTAAAACTGGAACTCAATCACAAGAAAAAATTTGGCAGAAATTCAAACACTTGGAAGCTAAAGACCACTCTGCTCAAGAATGTTTGGGTCAACCAAGAAATCAAAGAAGAACTTCAACAATTCATGGAAATCAATGAGAACGAAAACACATCGGTCCAAAACCTATGGGATACTGCAAAGGCGGTCCTAAGGGGTACATACATAGCCATCCAAGCCTCACTCAAAAAAATAGAAAAATCCCAAATTCACCAACTAACTCTACACCTTAAAGAACTAGAGAAAAAGCAACAAACGACGCCTAAGCCATGCATTAGAAGAGAAATAATTAAAATTAGAGCAGAAATTAATGAATTAGAAACCAGAAACACAGTAGATCAGATCAATGAAACTGGAAGTTGGTTCTTTGAAAGAATTAACAACATTGATAAACCACTGGCCAGACTTATCCAAAAGAAAAGAGAAAGGACCCAAATTAATAAAATTATGAATGAAAGGGGACAGATCACGACTAACACCAAGGAAATAGAAACAATTATTAGAAATTATTATCAACAACTATATGCCAATAAACCGAGCAATCTGGATGAAATGGAGGCCTTCCTGGAAACCTATAAGCTGCCAAGACTGAAACAGGAAGAAATTGGCAACCTGAATAGGCCAATAATCACTAATGAGATTGAAGCAGTGATCAAAAACCTCCCAAAAAACAAGAGTCCAGGGCCTGATGGATTCCCTGGGGAATTCTACCAAACATTCAAAGAAGAATTAATATCTATTCTACTGAAGCTGTTTCAAAAAATAGAAACAGAAGGAAAACTTCCAAACTCATTGTATGAGACCAGCATTACCTTAATCCCCAAACCAGGCAAAGACCCCATCAAAAAGGAGAATTTCAGACTGGTAACCCTGATGAATATGGATTCCAAAATCCTCAACAAAATCCTAGCTAATAGGATCCAACAATACATTAAAAGGATCATCCACCACGACCAAGTGGGATTTATCCCTGGGATGCAAGGGTGGTTCAACATTCGCAAATCAATCAATGTGATAGAACACATTAATAAGAGGAGGGAGAAGAACCATATGGTCCTCTCAATTGATGCAGAAAAAGCATTCGACAAAATACAACATCCTTTCCTGATTAAAACTCTCCAGAGTATAGGGATAGAGGGAACATTCCTCAAGCTCATAAAATCCATCTATGAAAAACCCACAGCGAATATCATCCTCAATGGGGAAAAGCTGAGAGCCTTTCCCTTAAGATCAGGAACACATCAAGGGTGCCCACTCTCACCACTGTTGTTCAACATAGTACTAGAAGTCCTAGCAACAGCAATCAGACAACAAAAAGAAATAAAAGGTATTCAAATTGGCAAAGAAGAAGTCAAACTCTCTCTTTTCACAGATGACATGATACTTTACGTGGAAAACCCAAAAGACTCCACCCCCAAATAACTAGAACTCGTACAGCAATTCAGTAATGTGGCAGGATACAAAATCAATGCACAGAAATCTGTTGCTTTCTTATACACTAACAACGCACTGTAGAAAGAGAAATTAAAGAAACGATTCCATTTACAATAGCACCAAAACCATAAGATACCTCGGAATAAACCTAACCAAAGAGGTAAAGGATCTATACTCTAGGAACTACAGAACACTCATGAAAGAGAGGCCCCTGGGTGGCTCAGTCGGTTAAGTGTCTGCCTTTGGCTCAGGTCATGATCCCAGGGTCCTGGGATTGAGCCCCACATCAGGCTCCCTGCTCGGCAGGAAGCCTGCTTCTCCCTCTCGCACTCCCCCTGCTTGTGTTCCCTCTCTCGCTGTGTCTCTCTCTGTCAAATAAATAAATAAAAATCTTTAAAAAAAAAAAAAAAAGAACACTCATGAAAGAAATTGAAGAAGACACAAAAAGATGGAAAAATATTCCATGCTCATGGATCAGAAGAATAAACATTGTTAAAATGTCTATGCTAGGATCGAGCCCCACATCGGGCTCTCTGCTCAGCGGGAAGCCTGCTTCTCCTTCTCCCACTCCCCCTACTTGTGTTCCCTCTCTCGCTGTGTCTCTCTCTGTCAAATAAATAAATAAAATCTTAAAAAAAAAAAAAAACTCTATGCTATCCAGAGCAATCTATACCTTCAATGCCATCCCGATCAAAATTCCAATGACATGTTTCAAAGTGCTGGAACAAACAATCCTAAAATTTCTATGGAATCAGAAAAGACCCCGAATCGCCAAGATGTTGAAAAAGAAAAACAAAGCTGGGGGCATCACGTTGCCCGATTTCAAGCTATATTACAAAGCTGTGATCACCAAGACAGCATGGTACTGGCACAAAAACAGACATACAGACCAATGGAACAGAATAGAGAACCCAGATATGGACCCTCAACTCTATGGTCAAATAATCTTCGACAAAGCAGGAAAAAAACATGCAATGGAAAAAAGACAGTCTCTTCAATAAATGGTGCTGGGAAAACTGGACAGCCACATGCAGAAGAATGAAACTCGACCATTCTCTAACACCATTCACAAAGATAAACTCAAAGTGGATGAAGACCTCAGTGTGAGACAGGAATCCATCAAAATCCTAGAGGAGAACATAGGCAGCAACCTCTTTGACATCGGCCACAGCAACTTCTTTCAAGATACATCTCTAAAAGCTAGTGAAACAAAAGCAAAAATGAACTTTTGGGACTTCATCAAGATAAAAAGCTTCTGCACAGCAAAGGAAACAGTCAACAAAACTAAGAGGCAACCCACAGAATGGGAGAAGATATTTGCAAAGGACACTACAGATAAAGGGCTGGTATCCAAAATCTATAAAGAACTTCTCAAACTCAACACCCAAAAAACAAATAATCAAGTCAAAAAGTGGACCGAAGAGATGAACAGACACTTCTCTGAAGAAGACATACAAATGGCTAACAGACACATGAAAAAATGTTCATCGTCATTAGCCATCAGGGAAATCCAAATCAAAACCACACTGAGATGCCACCTTACACCAGTTAGAATGGCAAAAATGGACAGGGAAGGAAACAACAAATGTTGGAGAGGTTGTGGAGAAAGGGGAACCCTCTTACACTGTTGGTGGGAATGCAAGTTGGTACAGCCACTTTGGAAAACAGTGTGGAGGTTCCTCAAAAATTTAAAAATAGAGCTACCTTATGACCCAGCAATTGCACTACTGGGTATTTACCCCAAAGCCACAGATGTAGTGAAAAGAAGGGCTATATGCACCCCAGTGTTCATAGCAGCAATGTCCGCACTAGCCAAACTGTGGAAAGAGCCGAGATGCCCTTCAACAGATGAATGGATAAAGAAGATGTGGTCCATATATACAATGGAATATTACTCAGCCATCAGAAAGGATGAATACCCAACTTTTACATCAACATGGATGGGACTAGAGGAGATAATGCTAAGGGAAATAAGTCAAGCAGAGAAAGTCAATTATCATATGGTTTCACTTATTTATGGAACATAAGGAATAGCATGGAGGACATTAGGAGAAGGAAGGGAAAAATGGGCGGGGGGAATTGGAGGGAGAGATGAACCATGAGAGACTGTGGACCTGAGAAACAAAGAGGGTTTTAGAGGGGAGGGGGGAAGGGGGATTGGTTAGCCTGGTGATGGGTATTAAGGAGGGCACGTACTGCATGGAGCACTGGGTGTTATACGAAAACAATGGATCGTGGATCACTACATCAAAAACTAATAATGTATTGTATGGTGACTAACATAACATAATAAAATTAAAAAATATATATATATTGAGCACACCAAACTCAAGATTCTATGGATATTATTGCTTAGAACCAGGCTAAGTTTAAAAAGTAATTTAAACTTTTTTTAAGATTTGAATTTTTAAGTCATCTCTACACCCAACGTGGGGCTTGAACTTACAACTCTGAGATCAAGAGTCGCATGCTCTACCAACTAAGCCAACCAGGCACTCCTAAACTTTTTCAATATTTAGAAGTAACAGTCCAGGTGGTACATAGATGTGCACTGACACAAACAAATATCCATAAAGTGATTTGATGGGACATGCATCTTTGTGAGCTCCCTGTGGTGGGCCAGGGTATATGCAGGGACAGACACCTTATGGGGGTACACGAGTCACGTACTGAATTGTCGGAATTCAGGACTCCAGTAACAGGTGCCGCTTGCTCTGTCCATGACTACATGTAAAAGTGGCCCTCTATTCCCAGGGCATTTGTCAGGTCAGCAGCTGCTCTTGCTTGTGTGCTAACCTTGGTCATACTACTCTTCTTCTTTATTTTCAAGGAAAAACAAGGTACTGATATGCAAAGGTTTTTACTTTCTGGTCAACAGCTTCATGCACTCATCTCTAACAGGTCAAGTGCTTCCCTTCCCAGGTCCTAAGCCGTAACTTTCAGCACTCTTCACACTGTCACAAGAAAGCCTCTAGCCCTGATAAGGCCTTGGATCCACATCCACTTCAATAGGAAGCAGTGTGCGCCTCTCCACATAGGCCACTCCCAGACCTAGAAGCATGTCATAGGGCCTGTCCATCAAGGGAACTCCGACTTACGACTTACGTTGTATACTCTGCCATCTTCGGGTCTGTAGAACTGTGGAAACAGGCCATCAGCATACCGGGAAGCCACAAGTCTCCCCAGAGAAGTCACATAATCTGCATTTTTATAAAGAAAAGTAGTCAAAATGGTGCATTATCAATGTTTATTTTTATTTCAAAATGTTCTTCTCTGACACCATTCAAATTATATCCCCAGTGACACCAAAAATCTATGATGCTTGGTATTCTGTCCTAAATGAGGTGTTTCTAGGTGCTATTATATAAGCTAACTATTTATGACATGCATAATCCTTTAATGCACAAATGCACGGAGAGGAAAAACAAGGTTTGTTTCTTGGTCTCCTGGTTCTTTTGTCCACAATGATTAAGGCAAAGGTCAAAAAGGCAATACGCAGTCTAAGCCCTAACAAATTAATAATTACATTAAATGTAAATGGCCTGAGTAAAACAATTAAAAGATAGTGATTGGCTTTCTCTGACTGACTTATTTCACTTAGCATTATACTCTCTAGCTCCATCCATGTCATTGTAAATGGCAAGATTTCATTCTTTTTTATGGCTGAATGCCATATGATTTCACTCATATGTAGAATTTAAGAAACAAGCAAAGAAAAAAAAAAGGAGAGACAAACCAAGAAACAGACTCTTAACCATAGAGAACAAACTGGTGATTATCTGAGGGTAGGTGGGTGGGGGAATGGGTGAAATAGGCAATGGGGATTAAGGACTGTACTTGTCATGATGAACACCGGGTGATGTATGGAATTATCAAATCACTATATTGTATATCTGAAACTAAGATAACACTGTACATTAACTATACTGGAATTAAAATAAATACCTAATAAATTTAAAAACAGAGAAAAAATTAGTGATTGCAAAGAGGATTTAAAATAATGACGCAACAATAGGGTATCTACAAGAAACTTGCCTCAAACATAAAGACATATATAAGCTAAGAGTGTAAGAATGAAAAAAGATACCATTTAAGTATTAAATAAAAAGAAAGCAGATTGACTATATTAATATCAGAAAAGTAAACTAAAGAGCAAAGACTATTACTAGGGATAGAGCAGAACATTATACAAATTTGTGTCAACCCACCAGGAAGACATAGCAATCCTAAATGTGTATGCACAAAAAAAGGACTGCAAATATCTTAAGCAAAAACTGATGGAACTGAAAGGAAAAAAAAGACAAACTCACAACTCTAATTGGAGATTTCAATACTGCTCTCTCAACAATTGATAGAATAATTAGACAAAAAGTCAGCAATGATACTCAACAACACCATCAACAAACAGGATTTAATTGACATTTATAGAAAAATCTACACAACAACAGAAGAATACACATTCTTTTACAAGCACAGAATATACACCAAGACAAGTCATATCCATGGCTATTAAAAAAAAAAAAAAAAACTCAAAAAATTTAAAAGAACTAAAACCAGAGTATGTTCTCTGCCCACAATGGAAACAAACTAGAAATCAGTAACAAAAAGATAAGAAGAAAATGTCCAAATTCTTGGAAACTAAACAACATGCTTCTGAAAAATCCATGGGTCAAAAAGGAAGTACAACAGAAATTTAAAAAATACTTTAAACTGAATGAAAATGATAATACAACCTATAAAAAATGTGAGGAACACAGCTTAAGCAATGCTTATATAAGAAGAAATGAAAAGTCACAAGTCAATAATCTAAGTTCTCATATGAAGAAAGTAAAAAAGAACAGCAAAACAAATCCAAAGTAAGCAGAAGGAAATACATGATAAACACCAAAACAGAAATCAAGAAAATTGAACACAGGAAGGCAATAAAGAAAATCAATTAAATAAAAAGCTGGTATGTTAATAAGATTAATAAAATTGACAAAAGTAAAAGGAGAGAAGACATGAATTACTGATACCAGGAATGAAACAGAAAAAAAAAGACCTTTCAGACATCAAAAGAATAATGGAATACTATAACCAACTCCACACACATATAGTACACAACTTAGATGAAATGAATGAATTCCACAAAAAACACAAACTACCACAACTTTCTTAATATGAAATAGATTATACCTAATAAGGAAATGAATTTATAATTAAAAACTTCTCAAACAGAAATCTCCAGGACTGGATAGGTTCTCTGGAGAACTCTACCAAACATATAAGAAATAATTAAAATTCGGGGAGATGAACCATGAGAGACGATGGACTCTGAAAAACAAACTGAGGGTTCTAGAGGGGAGGGGGGTGGGAGGATGGGTTAGCCTGGTGATGGGTATTAAAGAGGGCACGTTCTGCATGGAGTACTGGGTGTTATACGCAAACAATGAATCATGGAACACTACATCAAAAACTAATGATGTAATGTATGGTGATTAAATAACATAATAATAATAAAAAAGAAATAATTAAAATTCTACATATTTTCCAGAAAACAGAAGACAAGGGAACATTTCCCAACTCATTCTATGAAGCCAATATTACCCTGATACCAAAACCAGACAAAGGCAGTATAAAAAAAGAGAAAACCACAGACTAATATCATTTATGATTACATGTGCAAAAATGTATTAGCTATATTGGCTCAATATTCAAAAACCAATCAATATAATCAACCAAATTAACAGCCTAGGGAAGAAAAAAAATCACATGATCCTTTCAATTGACACAGAAAACTTCAATACCCATTCATGGTAAAATTTCTCAGCACATTAGGAATATAAGGGACCTTCCTCAACTTGATTTTTTTTAATTCTATAAAAAACTTACAGCTAACATTATAGTTAGTGGTAAAAGATTGAAACTTTCCCTGAAGATCTGATATGAGGTAAAGATGTCCACTCTCACCATTGCTGTTCAACATGGTACTGAAAGTTCTAGCCAGCCAGCACATGGTAAGACAAGGAAATACAAGGCATACACATCAAAAGGAAGAGTGAAAACTTTCCCTATCTGGAGAGGACATGATGGTCTACCAAGAAATCCCAAGGAATCAAAAGCAACAAAAAAATCCTTAGAACTAGTGAGTTCAATAAGGTCACAGGATAGAAGATCCTCATAAAAAAATTAGCCATATTTCTATATACTAGCAATGAACATGTGGAAACCAAAATTAAAAACACAAAAGCATTAACAATTGCTTAGAAAAACAAAATACAAAACATGTGCAAGACTTGTATATTGAAAATTACAACAGCTTATGAAATAAATCAAAGATGTAAATAGATGGAAAGGTATTCCATATTTATGGACTGGAAAACTCAACATAGTAAAGATGTCAATTCTACTTAAATTGATACACAGGTTTAATGCAATTTCAGTCAAAATCCCAGCAATATTTTTGTAGACACAGACATGGTTATTCTAAAATTTATATGAAAAGGCAAAGAAATTACATCTAAAACAATTTTGAAAAAGATTAAACTGCAGAAATCAGTCTGCCCATTTCAAGACATTACACAGTTATAGTAATCTAGACTTTATGGTATTGGTAGAGAGACAGACACACCGACAAATAAAACAAAATAGAGAATCCAGAAATAGCCCCATACAAGTACAACCACCTAATTTTTAACAAAAATGCAAAAGCAATTCAAAACAGAAAGGACAGTCTTTGATTTTATTATTTCATTTTTTTAAATTTTCATACAGCTGACATACAATGCTACATTGGTTTCAGGTGTACAACATAGTGATTCAACTTCTCAAAACAATATATGCTCCCCGTAAAGTGTAGCTACACTATGTCACTATACTTGGCTATATTCCCTTTGCTGTGCCTTTTATTCCTGTGATTTATTCATTCCATAACTGGAATCCTATGTCCTCCACTCCACCCCAACTCTGGCAACCAACATAGGTCCTCTGCATAGGTCTGACTCTGCTTTTTGTTTGTTTTCTTCATTTGCTTTGTTTTTTAGATTCCACATGAATAAAATCATATAGTATTTATCCTTCTCAGTCTGATTTATTTTACTTATCATAATACCCTCTAGGTCTATCCTTATTGTTGCAAATGATAAGATCTCATCCTTTTTATGGAGCCATAATAGTCCATTGTATATATATATACCACATCTTCCTTATCCATTAGTCTACCCATGGACGCTTAGGTTGCTTCCATACCTTGGCTATTGTAAATAATGCTGTAATAAACATAGGGGTGCAAATCTTTTCAAATTAGTGTTTTCCTTTTCTTGGAGTAAATACAGAGTAGTAGAATTACTGGATCATATGGTAGTTCTATTTTTAATTTTTTGAGGAACCTCCACATTGTTTTCTACAGTGGCTGCACCAGTTTTCATTCCCACCACCAGTGTACAAGGATTCCTTCTTCTGTACATCTTCACCAACATTTGTTATTTCTTGCATTTTTTACTTTAGCCATCCTGACAGGTGTGAAGTGATATCTCATTTGGTTTTGATTGGCATGTCCCTGATGATGAGTGATGTTGAGCAACTTTTCATGAGTCTATTGCCCATCTGGATGTCTTCTTTGGAAAAATGTCTATTCAGGTCCCCTGCCCATTTTTAAATCAGGTTGTTGTGTTTTTTTGGTGTTGAGTTGTGTACGCCCTTTATATACTTTGGATATATTATTTGCAAATACCTTCTCCCATTCAATAGGTGTCTCTTTGTTGATGATTTCCTTCACTGTACAAAAGCTTTTCATTTTGATTTTAAATAAAGGTGCTGGAGCAACTGGATATCCAGAATCCAAAAATGAAACTTATACAGAAAGTAACTCAAATTGATCATGGGCTAAATATAAGGTGTAAAACTATAAAACTTTTAGTAAAAATATAGGAGAAAGTCTTTGAGAATTAGCAAGATCCATATAAGAAAATAATAGATAAATCAATAAAGTCACCAAATTTAAAACTTTTGCTCTGAGAAACTCTCTTAAGAGGATGAAAAGGTGAGCTACAGACTAAGAAAATATATCTGCAAGCCACATACGTGACAAAGGACTCATATCTAGAATATATAATGAGCTCTCAAAACTCAACATTGAAAAAATTTAATTAGAAAATGATCAGAAGACATGAAGAAACATTCATTTTGCCAAAGATAATATACAGAATAGGCACATGAAAAGATGTTCAACAAAACTAGATATTAGGGAAATACAGACTAAAACCACAGCGAAATATCACTACACAACTATTAGAACAGCTAAAACTTTTAAATGGTGACAATACCAAATGCTGGTGATGATGTGGAGAAACTGTCTCTCTCATATATTACTGACGTGAATAATACAGCTACCCTGGAAAAGTTTAGCAGTTTCTTAACAAGACAAAATAAAACTAAACAAAACAAAAAATAAACACACACTTACCACACAGCAATTACATTCCTGAGCATTTATCCCAGAGAAAGGAAAACTTATGGTCATGCAAAAACCTATAAACAACTGCTCATAGCAGACTTATTTGTAATGGCCCCAAACTGGAAACTACCCAGATGTCTTTAATGGTGACTGGCTAAACAAACAGTGGTACATTCATATTCTGGAATACTACAGCAATAAAAAGAAACAAACCATTGCTATATGCAACAACTTGGATGAACCTCAAAGAAATAATACCAAATGAAAAAATGTCAATCTCAAAAGGTCACATACTACATGATTCCATTTATAAACATTCTCTACATGAGAAAATTAGAGATAGAAAAGAGACTGGTGATTCCCAGGAGTTAAGGATATTGGGGGTAGGGTATCTGTACGACTATAATGGGGTAGCACAAGGGAGATCTTTGTGGTGATAAACAGTTATGTATCTTGATTGTGGTGATGGTTACACAAATCTACACAAGTGGTAAAATTACACAGAATTATTCACATCAACGTCAAATTCCTGGATTTGATATTATACTCTAACTTTATAAGATATAACCATTATGAGAAACTCAGGGAAGGGTATTTGGGATCTGTCTATATTATCTTTGCAACTTCCTATAAAGCTATCATTATTTCAGGATAGAAAGTATCAACCAATGGGGCATCTGGGTGGCTCAGCTGGTTAGGTGTCTGACTCTTGATTTTGGCTCAGGTCATGATCTCAAGGTTGTGGGATCGAGCCCCGCATCGGGCTCTGCACTGGGTGTAGACTGCTTGGTATTCTCTGTCTCCCTCTCCCTTTGCCCCTCCCCTAGCATGGCACAAGTACACTCGCGCACTCTCTCTCTCTCCAAAAAAAAAAAGTATCAACCAATCATCCAAAAAAAAAAGGGTAAAATAAAAACAAAATCAGATAAACAAAAACTAAGAAAATCCATCCACTCGCAGGACCTGCACTACAAGAAATGCTTAAAAGAAATTTTTTAGAAACAAACACCAGATGGAACTGTAAGTCTTATAGGAAGGATGAATATTATAAATAGTAAATATGTGGATTGTAAAATGCTATTTTTTCCCACTCAGTTTCTTTATAAGACAAATGACTTTTTAAAGCAGTAATTATAACATTGGCTTGTAAGATTTATGATGTATATAAAATAAAATACATTAAAACAATAATACCAAGGACAGGAGTGGGGCTAAGTGGAGTTATACTGCTGCAAGATTCTTACATCTTACATGATGTAGTACAAAGCTAATTTTTAGCAGACTGTGACAAGGATATAATCACTAGAGCAACCACTGAAAACATAATGCAAAAAGGCATACCTAAAAAGCCTACTGAAGTTTAAATGGGATGAAATGAAATATTAAAAAATATTCAATTTACCCAAAAGAAGGTAGGAAATGAGAAACAGAGGAAAGACAAAGGTAAGACAAATAGTAAAATGGCATACCTAACTCTAACTGCATCAATTATTACATTAAATGTAGAGAACCAAACACTACAATTAAAAGACAGATTATGAGAATGGTTTAAAGAGGCACTCCTTAAATAGAGAGACTACAGATAGTTTGAAAGCAAAAGACTGAAAACATATGCCCCGTGCAAATGAAGGATAAGAAAGCTGTAGTGGTTGTATCAATATCAAAGTAAACGTCAAAACGAGGACTACCATCTGAGACAGAGATGGACATTTAATTCATCAGAAAGCTATGACAATCCTAAATGTGTATGTATTTAGCGTTTCAAACTACATGAATAAAACTGATAGAACTATAGGGAGAAATGGACAAAGCCACGAGGCAAAAAAATCTCTAAAGACACTGCACATCTCTATAATAGAATAAAACCAACCATCGTGAACTAATGAACATCTATAAATACGAACAACTGCAGAATACACATTCTTTTCAAGTGTACATGAAATGTGCACCAAGATACATGTTGGGACATAACACAAATATCAGCACATTTCAAAAGATGAAAGTGTTACAGGCTATGTTTTCTGACATAAATAACAGTAAATTATACAACAAAGTAAATTATATAACAAAGATTCCTTTAAAATCCTAAAATATTTATAAGGTAAACATTTCTCTTAAAAATGAATCAAAGAAAAAAGTCCCAAGAGAAAAAAATATTCTGAACTCAATGACAATGAAAATATTACCTATCAAGATTTGGATTCAGCTAAAGCAATGCTTAGAGGAATTTTAAATGACTATATGAGAAGAGAAGAAAGGCTTAAAATCAATTATCTAAGTTTCCACTTTAAGCTAGAAAAAGAAATGTAAATTAAACTCAAAGTAAGTCAAAGAAAATAATAAAGGTCGAAGCAGATATCAATGAAATAGAAAACAAAGAACAGGAAAAAAAAAAAAACCCAAAATTTGGTTCTTTGAAGAGTTATGATATACCCTGAAAAAGACTTACCAGGAAAGAAGTGAGAAAAAAAAAACACAAATTATATCTGAAATGAAAGAGGGAACATCTTTAGATTCTACAGGTATTAAAAAATGTTAAGGGAATATTATGAAACATGTTTTGTCAATACATTAGAAAACATTGATGAAATGGACAAATTCCTTGAAAAACATAACTTTGCAAAATTGGCATGATGAAACAGAAAATCTCTATGCCTATTATCAAACTTTTCCTACAAACACAACTCCAGGCTCAGGTAAGTTTCACTAGTGAATTCCATCAAACATTTAAAGAAGAAATAGTACCACCCATATAAAAGCACCATCAGAACATACAAGAGTTAAAAATAGAGCTACCCTATGACCCAGCAATTGCACTTCTGGGTATTTACCCCAAAGACACGGATGTAGTGAAAAGATAGTGCACATGCACCCCAATGTTCATAGCAGCAATGTCCACAATAGCCAAACTGTAAAAGGAGCCATGATGCCCTTCAGCAGATGAATGGATAAAGATGTGGTTCATATATACAATGGAATATTACTCAGCCATCAGAAAGGATGAATACCTACCATTTGCATCGATATGGACGGAACTGGAGGGGATTATGCTAAGTGAAATAAGTCAAGCAGAGAAAGACAATTATCACATGGTTTCACTCATATGTGGAACATAAGGAATAGCACGGAGGACATTAGTGGAAGGAAGGGAAAACTGAAGTGGGGGAAATCAGAGGGGAAGATGAACCATGAGAGACTATGGACTCCAGGAAACAATCTGAGGGTTTCAGAGGGGAGGGGGGAGGGGGGATGGGGTAGTCCAGGGATGGTTATTAAGGAGGGCACATGTTGTAATGAGCACTGGGTGTTATACGCAAACAATGAATCACTGAACACCACATTAAAAAAAAAAAAAAGAACACACAGGAGGAGGGGATACTTTCAAATCATTTTATGAGCCCAACATAATCCTGATGCCAAAACCTAACAAGGGCATTAAAAGAAAATAAAATCATAGAGCAGTATCTTCCATGACCTTAGATTGAAAAAACCTTGGCAAAATATAAAGAACTGCTATTTTTGCTATTATTAATGACTGAATTATAGTTACTGAAATATAGTTTATATACAAGATAAAACTGCTTTGTTTCCTTATATAGGAATCCCATACACCCTGCATTTAGAAGATACAGGGCTGTATCACCCCTTGTGGAAGGATAAATGGGAACGAATGCACAGCCTGAGCTCTGAAAAGCAAGGCCTTGTCATTAGAATGGGCCTCCACATCAGTCCATAACAACCACATCCCCTAGACCTTCCTTATCACCAGTACGGAACAAAGCTGCCAAAGGAACTGGTGAAAAATCTCCAAAACACAGTATTATTGACCACTCAATAAATATGTGTTTAATTCATTAATTAATTGGCTAATCCAGAATTACTGAGTAAAATCCAAGTAATGGCAATTGCCCTGATTGAAGGAGTGCTCCTCAAGTGGGGTGTTACTGACATGTTGGACAGGGCACTCCTGCTAGGTGGGCTATCTCACACTCCATAAGACTCCCCAGGCCCTATATTTCAGGAACAACTCAAACCAGTATGTCATCAGAAAATAAATAAAAACAAAGACAAAACACACCCTCACCCATCTCCAGACTCCCTGTTGGAGGGCAGTACTACTGGGAGTTCAGGACCAAACTTCTAAACAGTGTGTTTAGAAAAACTAGCCCATCACATAAGAGAGGCCACAACAGGAAAACGGCACATTCTCCCTGAACCCACGCAAAGCTATTGTCTTAACAGCCTCCCAAAGGGGTTTGCGCATCCCAAGGGATGAAGAAGACATCTGCTGGAATATATACAACTTCTATTTATCTTTTTATTTCATCTTTAAAAGGACTAAGAATGAAATTAAGCAATATTTAAGCAATGTTTAATAAGTGGACTGACAATCATGTATCTATGTAACAAACATATATTGGGGGTCCATGTACATTTTTTATGGATAAGGATGTGAGATCAAAACAAGCTCAGAGGCCTGTGGTTTTGGGGGGCCCTTCAGAAGTGATGCAGCCCCCTCAAAGGCTAAAGGATGGCATGCTGGTTGGGTTTCCCAACCAGCGTTGCTTTGTGAGTACTATACCTTCACAATGAGGGAATCCAATCTGTGACAGAATCTGTTTCAAGGTCAATTTGTTGCTCTTAAGTCCATGCAGTTTTAGCCATTCCTCGGATGAGATGAGACTCTGCCCGGCCAAGTCTGTTTTGGTGTTGCTTTGTTCCTCTGGCCCCTGCAGCTGCTGCTCAGAGATGGCGGAAGATGAGGCTGATAACTCCATCTCTGAATTAGGATCTAAGTCACAGAGACCTCCCATAAGGGCAATTGTCAAAATCAGACTTCCTGAAGACTTGAAAACAATCTAACATCAACAAAGGATGGGTTTAATATTAATTACAGCACAGTCATTAAGTGGAATTCAATCTATCATTAAAAATGTTTAATACAGATGCATATTTGCTGACAAAGAAGATATCCACATATATTGCTAAAATGTAACCATAAAGTTCAATATCCATCCATATATCCCCATATGTACACAGAGAAAAACATCTAGAAAGGTAACTGCCAACAGTTTATAGTAGTTTTATCTGTGTGGTGGGAATATATGTAGTTTTTGCCTTTTCTATGTTATTTAAAAGTTCACATTATTTAAACATTTCTGAAAGCGGGTTTACTTTTATAATCAGAAAAAATGCAAAGCTCTTCCATTTTAGAAAATACACATTCGCTCCTGAACCTTCATTACACATCAGTATTCCAATTATAATTGCACCTGACCTTTTACTTCCAAAGAGGATACAGAGGGCAAAACCCCGAGAGGAAACATACCTGTTCTACAGGTAGAGTGTCTAAGGGGGAGCTAGCGACAGGGTGGGAACCAGGTCACAGCTCAGCCCAGCAAGAATACATGGATTCACTTTCCAAATGTTTTATTTTAAAGTTGGACTTAAACATTCTGAATCATGTAGCCAGCTGTTCTGGGACCAACTGAACTCCAGGCAATATGCTACATATTAAACTTATCTAGACCTGCCTAAATATAGCTCCTGTACACAAGAGGGAAGGAGTGGCCCAGACTGTAATGCAATCTTAACCCACTCACCACAACTTCAGGCAGGGAGAAAAAGAAAGGTCTGCTTACCTCTGTACCCAGAGTATGAAACACATATGTTTGTTCCCTGGACTGTAAAACTTTTCAACAACAGAAATATTCCCTTTTCTCATTTCTAAAACTCCAACCACATACCCTGCATGTCTCTGTTATGATATGAAAATCAATCAAATACAGAAATCAGTTGGACATAAGCTAGGGGGTTCTCATGAAACAATACTAGATATATTATTATTAGCAATGAATGAGTTACGCATGGATAAGCACTTGATAGACTGGAAAGAGCTATGTCCAAATAAATTATTTAAGAGTCATTATCCTTTAGTAATTGTACCTTATTTATATGCCCACTTTTACTCCAAGTACCTTTTTACCCCCAAGTTCCCAGTCATATGAGCTATTCAGTTTGGGCTTCTCCTACTTTAGACTCACAGAACATGAAAACAAGAACAGACTTCAACTTTCTTTTTGAGATCTGTCCAACAAAGACTGCCAGCTGAAGGACTTTTAAATTTGGCTAACGGTTCCCATAGAAACAAGAAAAGGAAGCTCAGAATAAAGATTTTTGATTATTTCATCATTTCCAGTTCATCTTTCTTCTCCCTAACACACACTCACCCACGTCCTATGTTCTTCTTACTAGAGGGAGCTACATGTCATAGGTTAAAAAGGCAGAACAGCTATGTAAATTGTCCTTATAAGGCTCCTAGACTGGATTTTGGAAACAAAGGTTTCAGAAGAGTCGTACATTTTAAGGCCAACTCTTGCTTCCAAACAAAAGGCAATTGAATCCTCCAGCTAAGGTGCATGCCCCAGTGCCTCCTGCACTCACATGGCTTAAAAAATTTTAAATAAATATTTTTAAAAAGGTCTGGATGGCTCTACTGAATTTGAGAACCTGTATGAGTCATTCTTTTTTTTTTTTTTTTTTGAAGATTTTATTTATTTATCCGACAGAGAGACACAGCAAGAGAGGGAACACAAGCAGGGGGGGGTGGGAGAGGGAGAAGCAGGCTTCCCGCCGAGCAGGGAGCCCAATGCAGGGCTTGATCCCAGGACCCCGGGATCATGACCTGAGCCGAAGGCAGACGCTTAACAACTGAGCCACCCAGGCGCCCCTGTATGAGTCATTCTGATTCAGATCTTGACTCTTAAGATTTTTTAGCCTGAGAAGACCCATATTATCAGAAATGAAAGCACCTGGACAATGGAAATAACCCAAGAAAACAGGGAAGGAAAGAAAGGGCATCTCCCAATAGAAGGGATCATTCCACTCAAACTGGATAAGAGATACTGTCAGAGCAAGGAAGCCTGCCAGAGCAATGATGCCAAATGACCTGACAAAGCAACCCCTCCACACATTGCCCACCTGCTTTCCTAGCTCCAAGCTGGTCTCAGGCGGTTCTCCTATGTGAAATCTTAAACTTCAAGGCCCATTTCAAGCTCTACTTCCTCCATTAAGCCTCTCCAGACCCCCTCACCAACCTTCTGCAGCATCTCCCCAGCAAAGCTCCAACTTGCACTTTGACACTTCACCAATATGACCTTGGGCACTTCAGATTCATCCTCTCTAGACTAAAAGAAGGGTCAGTGACTACAGGGACAAACTATATGAATGTCCTCAGCACAGTGCCTTAAATACAGCAGGCACTTTGTAAGGGTGCTGAATTGAATTAAATTGATCACTCAGAATTACTAAGAATACTGATTTTCAAACAAGGCAGCAATTTTTTAGTTCAAACAAGGCTAATATCAGGAAATAGCTGTCATACTATAAAGACATACTATCTTCCAGATATTACTTTGTTGTTACTATTATTACTGGGATTTTTCAGGATTTCTTCATCTGAGGTTATTACAAATTGGGGAACAGAGGAATCCAGAAGCAAGAAACAACAAATCCAGTAGAACACTGCCCTGTTTTAAAAGCTATCCCAAGAGCAAAATTTGGGGAAATAGGAAGGGATTTCCAAAAGAGAATGAAGAAGTATAAACAGGGGGAAAAAAGTGAAAGTCTGAGCTAAAGGTAGGAGCAGGCAGGCAGAGCTTGGGGAAAAAATAGAAAGGTTAAGTGGGCACAAGTAAAGGCCCCAACTAAGGGAACCAGAGGCGCCAAGGGCAGTCAGCCTGTGCTGCTAAAGTCTGCCCACAGGGGGCAGCCAAGAGATTCCCCAGGTCATCCTGAGGTGAGCACCTTGAGGAAGTCCGCATGGCTTAATAGAGTAGTTCCTATATGGTCAGAGATTGAGGCACAACGCACAGACTCAAGTCCATTAATTCAGCTTAAACATTAGGTATACTTCTGGTTTATTATCAACACCCACAACTTCCTATATCCATTGCTGAAAATGAAGTCTAGATTAGGTGGATATATCTTGTGATTTATGTGAGTTTTGAATTACAATTTTTCCAGGGAGAAAGGAAGCTGGGATGAAGTCCCATGGGTATCCTGTTGCAACTCTCCTCCAGAAACCCTTAATCTACTCCTCGCTCCATTCTCCTGCCCTGAGGAGCAAGTCTAGCCTGTGATCATCTGCTCAAATAATGTGGGCAGAGGGAGGGGAGACTGAAATGGACTGGCCCACAGTTGAGAAAATGGGGTCAAGAAAAGAAAATCTAAGGATAATAGGTCTGCTCTAGGAAGGTCATTTCTGAGAAGAAAGAAACCAAGAGCTCCCAGGAAGATAAAAGTGGAAACTAAAACTAATTAAGTTGTATGCCCATATAAAAAGAGGAAAAGAAAATGGTGCTTGTCTTAGTGATGTGATTGTGAAAACCACGTACTTGTAGAAGAATGGAAGAGAGCCAGAGGATATTCCAGACCAGAAAGTTGTAGAAAGCTGTAATCCACGCAGATCCCTTTGTTTTAGACTATTCATGTTATTATTATTTCCTAAAAATAAATTTCTACTGGGGCGCCTGGGTGGCTCAGATGGTTAAGCATCTGCCTTCGGCTCAGGTCATGATCCCAGGGTCTTGGGATCGAGCCCCACATCGGGTTCGGGGCTCAGCGGGAGCCTGCTTCTCCCTCTCCCTCTGCCTCTGCCTCTCTCCCTGCTCATGCTTTCTCTCTCTCTCTGTATCTCTGTGTCTCAAATGAATAAATAAAATCTTAAAAATAAATAAATAAATTTCTCCTGGTTCTTGTATTAACTCCAAAGCCCATGTGCACTTCACCTTCTTATTACTGTTGGCCTATGGTAAGACAGAAACCAAGAAAGCTGGTTCTCCACCAGAGCAGCTGAGCTTCACTGGGAGCGGGGTAAGGTGGGAAGAGCTTTACAACAGGAGGGGTCGGGTACCTGTGTCTCAGCCTGACCCAAAGAGTAGTTCAGTGAACCTGGAAAAGTGGCTGAACTTTTGTGGAGGGCAGTGCAAGTCGGAAACTGCGTAATTCCAAGCTTTCCCTCCACAGGTTGCTGGAAACCTCGGCGCCTCGAAGGCTCTGGCGTGGAAGGGATCGCATCCCACTTACTAGGCAATCTGTCGGATGAAAGACAAGAAGGTTCCTGTTTAGCAGCCGCCCTCCCATCCTCTGGGGGCCCTGTGACCCCAAAGGGTCGGTGAGGCGCGCATCCCGCTGGTTGATAAAGCAGCAACTCCAACAGGCGAAGGGTCGCCGCTTGGCGAGAAGAATTATTCCAGACGTTCGATTTCTCTGTGACCCCAGCGCGCACCGCGCTGCGTGTTGACCACGGCGTCGCCTCGGTTGCTCGGACGCGGCCAATCACGGAGCGGCTCCCTGAGCCGGCCCCGCCCTCAGAGCGCGCGCCCAGGGGAGGCGGGGCCAGCGGGCCGTAGGGGCGGGGCTCCGAAGCGAGTTCAGGGGCGAGGTGGAGAGAGTGGGTGTCCGGGATCCCCAAGGCGCTTTGGGACCCAAAGCAAGAGCCCCACGCTAGGGGAGAGGGTGGATGGCATTGTCCCCTGCGCTTACTGTTACCGAGAAAATTAACAACGGCGGTGAATATTTATTAATTAAGTTAACAAGCAGATAAGCACGCAGAAGAGCCCCGGTCAGGGGCGAGAGCGCGAGCAAATCGTGGAGGAAGGCGCCCAAGGCGGGAGGGAGGCCAGTGCACCGCAGGAAACATTACGGTTAACTTCTGTACCTACTTTAAAGCGTGCAGAGCACTTACATCTGCGTAATTTTGTTTAATTTTCACCTGAACGGTGTGAAGAGCTATTGTTCTTCATTTTACAGTTGAGGGAAAGAAGCTTAAAGAGGTGGGGCAGTTTGTTACAGATCGCTCAGCGGTGGAGCTAGTGTGAGTGAAGCTCAGACAGGTGAGACTGAGCTGCAGTTTTGGAGGAGGGGCTGCCAGTTACCAAAAATACCCTTATCTATTAGGTAGGGGTATTCTTATAGCATTATTTTCTCCATTCGGCTTTATTCTTAACCCTAATTTTTACCGTGTCAAGTAAGCAAGGAGCTCAAAATAGAGGCCTCTGGTTTTTCAGTCACTTGGAAATAAATTTGTGCTTAATGAAAAGCATCTTTAAATCCTTAATAAAAGATCCCACAGGCAAGTATTGTTTTACTATATGGGGTATTAAAGTGTGGATTTAGATTTTAAAACTCAAAAAGTGACCAGATCATTTGTAGGTTTTTGAGTCAAATATCTAATAAAAACATGGTTAACAGTAAAACTGAACAATTCTGGGGGCACCTGGGTGGCTCAGTCGTTAAGCGGCTGCCTTCCGCTCAGGTCATGAGCCCAGGGTCCTGGGATCGAGTCCCGTATCGGGCTCCCTGCTCCGCGGGAAGCCTGCCTCTCCCTCTCCCACTCCCCCTGCTTGTGTTCCTGCTCTCGCTATCTCTCTCTGTCTGTCAAATAAATTTAAAAAATCTTAAAAAAAAAAAAAAAAAAAAGAAAGAACTGAACAATTCTGTCCCCCCCACAAAAAAGTCTACTTCATCCACAAGATGTTATTTTTCCTACATTCTTTTAATGCCTTTATAACTTTAAAAGTACTAACAGGTTTGATCTCAGATCACAAGTCATTCCATAAAATTATCAGATTGTATACCATTGGCCTTATAGATGGCACCTGCAGCCACACCACCAGAGAACAAACAAAAATTCAACAGTACTAAAAGATTGTGTGCAGAAGGGAAGTACTACAGCAGCCACACCCACATTTGCCAATGCCACAGTAATCCCGGCTGTCCACACTCTGCCAGACTAATGTTATTGGGTCTCATGGGTTAGATAGAGGGCAGAGCATTCACCCAGCCAAACCCACTGCCTTACATAGTCCCACAGGCACTCCTTTCCTCACCTTCACCCCATGCATTCTCCCTTCCCTGAGACACTTGCCACTTACATGCAAGTGACTGCAGATGACTCTATGCTTTTGTCAATTATATGTATGTGCCTGCATGCGTAAGTTCATATGAAAATGTTAAGCATTAATTACTTAAAGTATAGATAGACAAGTAAGCAGAAGTTGAGGGCCTTTTGAAGTATTGCATAGTTGATTCTGACTTCAGTTCGGCTAGCCACAGGATGGTTCACCCCATTTTTGTGTGTGGCGTGGTCTGGAATAAGAATACCTTTAGCACAGTTGTGATATATCATTGTTCTGAACTTGAACACATTTGCTTTGGATTTACGTTTCACAGGTCATTTGTATCCTACTCTCAACCTTAATAATTGGCATTTATCGTGTCACTCCCAACCTTAGCTTCAGACTCTTTGCCACTGCCCACAACATAAATGCTCCAGCAGAGATACTAGCCTGGTCCCTGCCTCTGACCACATACCCTTACTCAGACCCCCCCCCTCCTTTCGCCTGGATTACACTAGCTTGGGAGCCACAGAGCCCCAAGTCTCTTCAGGGTCAGCTAAAGCTCTTCTCTCTTCATGGACACTCAGACCAACAATAATTTTTCTCCCCCTGTCCAGACTCAGAGCATCGTTGGCAGTTGGCACTCTTGGCAATGGTGTACTGCCTTGTGAGAGCCCTTCCATTGTTATTTGACCCTTGTGCTGTTTTTTCAGGTTGAATGGTTTTTCTTTTTCTTTTTTTTTTTTTAAAGATTTTATTTGTTTATTTGAGAGAGAGAGAATGAGAGAGAGAGCACATGGAGGGGGGAGGGTCAGAGGGAGAAGCAGACTCCCCGCTGAGCAGGGAGCCCGATGCAGGACTCGATCCTGGGACTCCAGGATCACGACCTGAGCCGAAAGCAGTCGCTTAACCAACTGAGCCACCCAGGCGCCCGGTTTTTCTTTTTCTTTAAACAAGTCTATTACCAGCACTACATGTGCTTATGATCATGATTAGAATCTTTTGGGGGTGGGCAGAGGTCGATGAAACCAAGGGAGAAAAAGTGGTTTTCCTAACCCCACCACAAGAACAGGAACCAGATGAACAGTAGAATATTGACTCAAGGGAATCATTTATAGGGTGAGAAAGAGTCTGAGATGGACTTAACACAAAAGCACTCCCTTGGAAGACAAAGGCTGGGGAAAGTGGGGGGAATGGAGCAACTAAGATTGCAGTCACCGTTGAGCCTTGCTGGGCACTGTTGGTCCAGGGTGTTTGGGCTGTCAGGGGCTGCCTTGAGAGAGGTGGGTGGGTGGGAGCAGGGGAAGGCAAAAGTCCAAATGGACATTTGTGTCGACTATGATGTTCTGCAGTTCATGGTTCACTATTTGGGGAGTGACTGCAAACCTGTGGCTCTCAATCTAACATCTTTTGTGAGGAACAGAGCTGTAAGACATAACTGTTCTACTCTTGATAATTACGATGTTCAAGGTTCGCCAACATGCAAAACAATAGCTAGAACTTATTGAATGACAGACACTGTTCTAGGCATTTTAAATATATCACTTCTTCCAATCCTTACAAAAGCTCCAGGAGGAAAATACCATGATTATTCCCACTTTACAGATAAGTAAACTAAGACATAAGATTAAGCAACTCCCCCAAGGCCACTCAGCTAGCGAATTGTGAACCCAGAATTTGAACCCAAGCAATCTGTCTCAGTACCCTGCCCCCTTAATTAGATGCTGTGTTGATCAATTGTTGGCCCTTATTTCCTCCAAAAGAAATTTTCCGTCATCCCAGTTGTACAGTGTTCATTTAGAACTGGATATTGATGCCACAGTGAAAACCTCACTGGTTTTGAATGGGTTTTTAACAGCACACACCTCAACATTAAATGGCATAAAGCAGGTCTGTTTTCTAATTACCCCTCCCTCCCACACTTCCTTTTTGTTGTTGTTGTTAATGTTTGCAATGTGCCATTGTTTTTAAAAGAATTGGATGCCTTTTAGTCTATTACTATATCCTAATAAGTAAATGAAGAAGAATTGAATAATATTTCATCTAAACAAAAAAGTTCCAAACATTTGGAAATTTAAAATCACTCTTCAAAATAGATACTTATACTAAAAGCTGGCAAAGACAATACTCCTGGATGAGAGTTCGATCATATGGAAATTATATTCAGGAATGGGCCTGAATCTTGCCTTGCTGGGTCATCCTCTTCCTACGGTTTCCGAGGAGAGAAGTACACACACAGGCCAATGGCAATGGGCAACAGGTGTTTCCCTGTTTTAGGTCCCTCCAACCCAAGGGCAGGTTGACCCAGCAACCCTACATGTGTACAGGACTTGGGCACAGAGCTAGGGCCTCTCTCCCCTTCTAAGCTCGGGTCTTTCTATCAGCTCCTTCCCATGCCTGGCAGGCAAATATGTAGCACAGCTTATGTGGGAGGAAGAAAGAAAAGAGGGCCTGCCCACTAGAAGAGGTAAGCCCTGGTTTGGCTTCCCTCTTTTCCCCTTGGGGAAAGAGTAAAGTGCCAGAGAGAGAAACACACCTGGTGGATAATTTCACACTCGTAAACTTGGCATCATCAACATCCTGGAATCTGATCCAATTAGATCAATACTCCTACTTCTTCAGGAGTGAAGAGAGAGAGGAAAGAGAGGAGAAGGATAACATTAGAAGAATTAGAACATTCTCACTGATGAATTCAATTGTAAAAATCCTAGGTAAAACAGTAGTAAATGGAATTTAACAGAAGATTTTTTAATCATTGTTTTAAATTGTGAAAGTACCTACCTTTCTGCCAAGCAATTCCACTGCTAGGTTTCCTTGATGCCACAGTGAAAACCTCACCAGATTTGAGTGAGTTTTTAACAGCACAAACCTCAACATTAAATGACATAAAGCAGGTCTGTTTTCTAATTACCCCTCCCTCCCACACTTCCTATTAAGTTTGCAATGTGCCATTGTTTTTAAAAGAACTGGATGCCTTTTAGTCTATGAACTAAAGAACTAGTCTTTTAGTAAATGAAGAAGAATTGAATAAATTTTTTATAATGCAAAAAAGCAAAATAATGGAAATCACCTCCATGTCCACCAATAAGGGAGTGATTGAAATTATGGTATATTCTCATTGTGATATGACAGCAGTTTAAAAGAATAAGATTTTTTTTGTTACAATATAGAAAAGTTCCAAGGTGTACTGTTGAGATTCTTTTAATCAAATTTCAGAACAAATACATGCAGTATAGTGCATTTTGTGTTAAAAAACATGCGCCTATATACACGCAAATGCATTGATGCATTCGTGTTTGTTTCCACTCCTAACCCATTGGCCAGAGCAAGTCACATGGCCCATCTAATTGCTAGGAG